AAAAATTCAAGAATGCAACAATGCGCAGTATGGATGAGGTTCAGAATCATTGGTGGGAATTCCGTCGCTTATAGCCCGGCGGCTCGAAAATCAGTAAATTCAGGAATAAAGTTGAACAAACGGAAAGGCAGTTATAAAAATGGAAGGTCGGTGATTTCCAGTATGAATTCGGGCCTCCTTTCGGAGGGTCACGCCCAGTACCCATGTGGGAAGACTGAGCGGTCCACACTTCGAACTTGGGTTTTCAGTTAGACTCAATTGCCACGTTGGGAAGGAAGGTGAGGGAACGGAAAGGTGCATGGGTCCGATCACTTGAAAAGTTTAACATTGTTGTCACAAGGCGTCAGCAATCAAACCGGCGGAGCTGCTGGGGACGAGTAGGTTTGGGGGTGGTAGCATGAAGAACCATGGAATCAAACAAAGCAAATTAGACAGCGTGGTCAAAAGTTTCGGTTGCAGGTACACGAATGGACGTCTCCATTCGCTTCCCCTCCAGCGACGTAGCTTCGTTGGACAAGGTTCATCGCTGGAGGCCTTGCCCCCTGCTGGAAAACCGTTCGAGCGGTAGGAACCCTTGCGTCAGTGGAAGGAGTGAAACATGCCGTGTTTGTAGTGGAAAGGCAAGAACGTGGAAAACCCTTAGAACCAGGGTGCGACACACACACACACACATGAGCAACCACATATGTTTACCAAAGTAAAGAATGGCTTGGAGGTGGCCGCATTTTTTCCGAAACGTCGTGGCTCCGCTGATCAAGGTAGGGGAAGCTATAAAACCAGATCTCCTGTACATCTATAGAATCTATAGTGCCGTAGGGTGTTTGTTCACATCTGAAACAACATCAGACCAATCTGGTGGAAAGTATGAAAGAGCTTCAAGGGCCCTTTTCCACGTACCGTCGATTAACCAATTTTGGTGGGAGAAAAGGTGACCCACCAGGCTACCGGGCTTTATCTCCAAGAGCAATCTGTGCTGCGGGATGTCATCCAAACAGAAACCTGTGCTGCGGCCAAAGAGAAATCTGATCCACCATCCATGGTTTTTTCTTGTCCAAAAAAGCTCAGGGAAAAAAACGTTTCTTCTGACAGCTCCTCAGTGACAGCTCGGACACCTCGGAGTGAAAAAGGCCCATCTTCTGTTGCTGGGGGAGGGAAACGACGCGGGAACCGCATCCGAATGACGAATGACAACCCCAACTGACATTCCCTCGATCTGTATGATGGGGTGCCCATATTGCACTCTGCCCTCTCAATATGTTTTACAAGGAACAGGTTAGGCCTGCCGCAAAGCCGGCCCGCATGGAACAGCTAGCGTCCGTGGATGGGACCAAGGACACCCCAGACAAGCACAAATAGCAACATATATAAAGAGAATGACAGCGGAGAAAGATGACGACTACATTTAGGTTTTGAGCGAAAGTCATCGTGTATATCTATATATATTTACAAAGAATACAGTACAGTGTGTGAATTTGTGTCAAGACTCAGACTGAATCCCCAACATGAAAGCTTGATTACAGGCGCATCATACATGGCCTTCCTCGCCATTGCTGCAATGAGGTCTGCGAATCCGGAAGAATTTGTGGAGCAGCCGCATGCTTCTGTGAAGGTCAGACTCAAGAGGATGTCAGAGGCAGAGGCCACGCACCACGCGGGCACCAGTGTTTTGCACCTACAGGCTGAGTGAACTCAAAGGAATACGTATTTCAACATATCCCTGGCTCGGTATTTGCTTGTACTTGGGTTGAAGATCCGGAAGATTAACCCCAGCTGTCGAGATTGGTCGGCTGGTTGAAGGGGAGCAGTTTCTTAGTTCAAACCTGAGGCAGTGCAAGAGGAACTGTTTTGTTGCAACATTGGCAGAATCTGCAGGCCAGTGTGCAGCAAGCCATGGATAGATTGGAAGAGCTGGTGCTTCGTGCTACTGAATCAGCACTGAAGGAATCAAAAGTGCCTTGGCGTTCATGATTGCTGCACGATTCATCCAAAACAGTGAGGCCACCGGATGGCAGTTCCGGCCGAGAAATGGAGCGGCCTGAGAGATAGAGCGACAGATGGCTATTGCTGTCTACCTTTTTTTCCCTGTTTGCCTGAAGGATGCTGAAGGCAATCCTGAAACCGCTACGCCGCGTTGGTGTAAACAAATTACATTTTGCCTTCGATTGCCATTTCTGAGGGCCTTGTCAAGGGCGTGATGAGTGAAGTTCTGGTGCTCAAAGATCACCAAAGAGAAGCAGACACTGCGGAGGCCTGATATCTCAAACATGAGTTTGAGTGGCTGCTGAAGTGGCTGGCTTCAACCGGGGTCATTGTTCTTAACTTTACAGTTTCTCGACTTGTTTCTTTGTGTGCTTCACTACGCCACTACGCTTTGCTTCTTGAAGGCCCCCATGATTGAGCCCGTGCTGCCTGTGAAGGTCGCTCCCCAAGCGAATGTCGCAAGACCAGGGCCAGACGAAGATCCTTGGCCAAAGCACGTCCCAGGGCCAAAGTGAGGATGTTTCGTCAGTCTCGTCCTCATAACTCCCCTGCTGATAGCACTGTGCTAGATGCGAAAGGCGGCGCATAGGATATATTGGATGCTGAGTAGTTCATGCAATGCAATTTGTTCAACCCTGAGGATTCATTTCTGTCGGTGTCACTCACGGCAGAGCCTACATGAGTTTTGACAGGCTTTGTAGGAATGATACCTTTGTAATATAGGTATTTTGTTCCCGCTTTTGAAATTCACAACTTGCCATCTCCGAATGGAGAAGTTTGCAGCGTTTGTGGGTTCGAACACCACTGCCAGAAAACAGTGCAAAGGTGAATGTCTGGTTCTAGTGTTGCTCATGGTTGGAGGATCGTAATGTGCCACACAGAGCTGCTGTGAGTTTGGACTTTTCATTCAATTTCCGAGGGCCGGTCTATCAGCTCAAACGATGCTACAATGATGCTGTCCTAGTTAAGGGCCACCACTCCCATTTCCGGTTCCGCCGGGGTGGCAATGTAGTTCTCACTTCACTTGAATCCGTGCTGGGCAAGCCGGGGATGGGAGTGCGAAGTTCTGTTCAGGAATTTCCTACAGTAGCCAGGGTTCTTCAATGCCATGCTTTTGGAGTGTGCTCTGTACGGTTGATTGAAACTGCAAAGCTCATACAACTAAGCTTTAGGATTGCAGACCCCCAAAATTATATCCCCAAAAAATATATCCTTCTGGAACGGTAAGTCCAAAAATTAAGGTCGAAGAAGTCTAAGAACACTATCTTTCTTTTCATTGCAACAGGAACAATGCATCAGGCGATGGTTCATGTTTGCTTCCTTCTGAAGATGTTCAAAGGTTTGTCACCAAACCTTTCAGAAAGTTGCCAACACAATTTGTTCCATGCTCGATTCCACTTGCACCACAAAAACGGAAGACCCACAAGAGATGTTGCCTGGTCAAGATGACTCGTTGCTGAATTGAGTCAATGAATGTCCTGGCAACAACTGCAGTCTGCAGTTTCATGATCGATTCCTTTTGAGCTGAGATTTGCCTGCAGCATTTGCATCAGCTGCCCAGAGCTTCGCTGGACTGGGAATCGCATTGTCTCAATTCCACAGGTGCCAATTGTAGCCTATCAAGTCGGCACATTTTAGTATAAACCTATTTGATCCACGATATAATACAATATAGTCCTCCAGGCACTGAAGTGCACATTTGAGTTCATTGGGAAGTTGCACACGCACGCATGTTCAGGCTTCCCATCAAAAAAGTCTTATGTCCGCAAAACTTTCGATGCAAGCAACATAAATACTTGTACTAGCATACAGCCAAAGTGGTCCGGAGCACATTGGACTCACAATACTATGGAGTCAGCTGCTTCAGCTGCTTACGATGCTCGGCTTGGCTGTGCTCGACTCTTTGTGCTTACTTCAACAGTCATGAGTTGGGGGCTTTTGGGATCTGAAGATCATGTGCTGAGTTTTGGGAAAGTAGAGCAATCATATTTGTTGCATATTGTATTTCCTAATGACAAGGTCCACTTCGCTGCAGTGAATTGGGCATGTTTCTCTCAAAAGTTCGGCTGTTAAAAGCCTTGTCTTTGGGTTATTTATGATTTGTCTTTCTGACAAGCCTGTCAGTGCTGCAAGGACCTCCTGGACGAGGGGAGTCCGAACAGGAGTGATGCCACGCCCAGAAGACTTTGGCATCGAGCTGTTGTTACAGCTCTTGGTGACTCAGCCCAAATCTGCAGATTATATTCTTGTGCGTAAGCCTTGACATCACAGGTTGTCTTTAGACTTTTACGCGCGCAAGGTGCCACAGATTCACACTGGACCGGCACCAACGAAGACGCCAGTGTTGCATCTGTGAAATTGATCCAGGATGTTGGATGGACGTACCTTTGGTTGTGATGTTGAGTAGTCACACCCTGTTCTGAGGCTGGTGAGGTTTTGGAGGTCGGCAGATGAGCTGTAAAGACTTATATAATGGACTCTGCGGGCTCACACCGGGCATCAGAGAGACACATTTGAGATTCAGTTTGTACGGAAGCCATCCGAAGCCCAATGATATGCTCAAATTCCAGCATTCCAAGTTCACAAGGCTCAAGGTTTCCAAGTCTCAAATTCTGCCAATGCGAGATCAAATCAATGGAGAGTTGAGTGCATTAAGTCTTTACAACTCATCTGCCGACCTCCAAAACCTCACCAGCCTCAGAACAGGGTGTGACTACTCAACATCACAACCAAAGGTACGTCCATCCAACATCCTGGATCAATTTCACAGATGCAACACTGGCGTCTTCGTTGGTGCCAGTCCAGTGTGCATCCCTGGACTCTCTTAGACAACAAGTGGTTTCAAGCCTTTCACAAACACACACACACACACACTCACACACACATGGTCAGTTTCGCACAAGGCCTCAAAAAGACTTTCTCATACACGGAAAGAGAAAACACCAACCATTTCCGTTAGCCTTTGCCCAATCAACTTGACAGCGAACCGTCAACTCTTCACGCTTGACCAGTAATCGATGACCGGGCGCTTCACGTGGCCACACATTGGGAACGAGTGCGTCCTACTCGGATTCAGTGGTTTGCAGCGTCACATCATAATTTTTGGAACAGCTGTATTACCTGGTTACGGTGAAACCGAGGAGACTCTCACTAGCCATAGCCTTTTACTTCAAAGCAGCGTCGAAGACACAGTAGGCCGTACTTGGAATCACGGGATCTCTAAGTAAAGAAAACCTGCAGGTGTACAATTGGACGTTTGCAACCGCTTCCCATGACACCACTCTTTTTTGCCCGCGTTGTGATGCCACTGTAAGAGGCGCCTTTGGAACAAGTCACAAACACACACACACGAAGTCCAGTCAATTTGGAAACTATCCATACAACCCATGGGTTTTGGGTGGGTGGTCGTTTTTTTTACTTTTATCTACGGTCCGAATGCATGTACTGTGTATATTTTTTTAGGTGATAATTTTTGATACGCGTGTGTGAATTTGGCTCCATCATTGCGTCAGTTGAGCATCACTAGAGTGTTGGAGGTATTGCGGCCACAGCAGCTGCATGCCTTTGGACTTTGCCTCCACCGTGGAGATCAGTAGAGAGTGAACCAGCGATACACCCGACAGACTTGGATGTGCCTAAACCAGCATTGGTAGCGATGCCGATGCCCTTGTTACTAGTAGCTTCTAGCTACTAGTCGCGATGCCGATGCCCTTGTTACTAGTAGCAATGCCCAGTAAACCAGCATTGTACGTTTGTGTGACTTGATTTGTTTTGCTCAAGAAGCGGAGTGCCTCGATACACTTTCAGCTGTGCTGAGGCTGCAGTTCAGTCGAAAAGGCCTCAACTTCCCAGAGGAACCGGCCGCCACCGTCCAAGAGGGTGTAATTACATATTATATAAGGAATTCTGGCGTTTGGGGATAGTCAAGAAACAAATTGAAGGTGTTGGAGGCTGGTAAAGTGCGTTGCAGGTTTGGCGATCGAAGAATCCATTTCGCTGGATGATGCTCAATGTTTTTGTGCAGGATCTTCGCCTTTCTCACATCAGCAAGAGTTGCCAACTGACGTGCACCCGTCATGTACAGGGTGGTGCTGGGATCAAATAAATTTCAACGTCAAACCGCGCCTCTTCACGCGCTCCCCGGGCTCGGCGGATGTATACTGTAGTTTGTTCCAAAGGTCATTTGCTCTTTTGTCTTGAGTGGCTTCTAGCCATCTCCGAATCTTTAGAGGCCTCGTGCTTTCTTGGTCCTGCTTTTTTTTGGTTCTCCAGTCTTGTAGTGTTGCAAAAAGAGCTCGGCACCCCAGTCGCGCTTCAAACTTTAGAGCGCCAGGATGTGTCTGGCAAAGGCAATTCTACAAGACTACGACCGGTGGAACCTCGACAGCACAGACTCTCTTGAGAAGCTTGCCGCTTGCCATCAAGGCAATACCGTCTTCTGCTGCAGGCAGTACGTACCCCTTTGTTCTAATAGATTTTGGCTGCTGCTGCTGCTGCTGCTGCTGCTTCGCTCTCTTGTTGGAACTGTTTGTGGAAATTGCATGCACTTCCTGACCTCGAGCCTCGAGGTCATGTTTCATGGAGCAGCAGAATCCGAGAGAGAGTTTCTCCTAGCGAAGCACTGGATTGAATCTGAGCATCCAGGACAGCTACTGGATTGAGGTGGGAGAGAAAGGGATGCACGAGCTGTACCTCCTCACACAAGGTACGTTGGAGAAACCTGTGAAGGGACAAATGATCAAAGCCTCAACCGAAGAAAATATAGAACACAAGTGAACAAACACTTCTTAATCTATCGAATATTATTGAATCTATTGCATATTGCAGTGTCTCAGCTGCCCTGGAGGAACATGGACAGTCTTGGTGAACCTTTTCGCTGGAACGGAATCTTTCAAACCTCTTGAGGAGATTTCATGCGAATCACACACACATGCCCAGTTGCGCACTCAAACACGGTTCTAGGCTGATACCAACTGTCTTCTCCAAATGCAATGATACAATCTCCCACTTCTTTTCAGGAGCAGGTCCGTGGACTCTATGCGTGTCTTAGCCGCAGTGAGAGATCTTCAACATGAGAGTTACCACGAAGAACACTGACACATCATATATCCTCTTGCAAGTGTTTTCGTCAAGGTACCTTCTTCGGCTCCAAGAGGACTTCCCGAAACAGCGCCTTGGCAGGAGGACGTTGGACCGTCCATGTTCGAAACGCATAGCACTGATTGTGAGATCTTAGGCAGAGCTTGAAAGGGGACATACACAGAGCAATTGTTGCTGCTGATGTGGTAGTCGTTAGGAAACTCCTCAAGCTCCTTTGAATCTCTTGAAAGTCGATGGACACCTATCATTGCTCCAGGTTTCAGGGTGGCTACAATTTGCTTTGCCATTCACAGGGTGCGCTAGTTTGCCGAGCGGTGCTGCAGGTGTGATGCTCTCATGTGATCTCGGAAAGGCAGTATCTAATGAACATGATGGCAGACTAAGATGCATTCAACATCGGGTAGGGCGAGACACGGCTGATGTCCACAACCAAGCAGGTCATGGAAAATCACCCAGTGCTACACTTCATCTCTCTGGCCGGGCCGCAGACACGTGGACTGCAAGTCACAAGCGCTGTTGCTGAGTGGGTGAGCACAGCTTAGAGCGCTGTGAGGATGGGAGTCTATGGCACCACTTGGCTCGAATCGGCGCAGCCCTTCCTCGAGAAGAGTTTACCCATCCCTGCGCCACTCAAGCTCAAGCGATAGACCCCCTAGTCAAATTGGTAAGATTCTCAATGCTTCTAACGCTGAGGAATCTTGATGATAGACTTTCCTCGTGATTGTTGGAATTCCAGATGCCTTTTGAGTCCTTTTGATTTCCTACTCAACTTCAAATCCATTGAAGTCAAGAAACATCACAAGGAATCAGAAGGAGTTGAAAGGATTGGAAGTGAATCAAAGGTATCAAAGAGTAACAGAAAGGAATTCAAAAAGGAAGGCAAAACAACGAAAAGGACATCAAAGTAAGTACCAAGATAATACAGAAGTGACAAGTGACAAATGGAAAAGGAACTCAAAGACAGCAAAAGGAATGCACTGCAACATAAGACAACCTGGCCCAAAAGTTGTAAATGGACATTTTTCTGGGAGGTCATCAAATACATTTGTAGTCTCCTGGACACCCTTTGTTGATGACCGGCCTCACATTCCCAGGCTGC